TATTTTTATGTGATGCTGAGGATCGAACCCAGTGCCTCACATGTGCAAGGCAAGTGCTCTACCACTGAGCTATAACCCCAGCCCCTCAGAGTACTTTTTAAGGGTACAGGGGAACATAAGATTAGATAGGCAGAGGCAGTTTCTATAGAGCCTCAGAGGATAGGTACTATGCAAAATGAGTGTGAAAACATTACAAGTGGAAAAAAATGGAGCTGCTATTTCATGCTTTAATATTCTGTAAGCAAACTGGCATTTCATATATTTGGTTTAAGGAAGTAGTGAAAATAAGTTTTATAAAATTTGTTAATGATGATTTTCTTCATTTATTGGTAGATTTATTCACCAGTATTCCTAGAGACCTATGGCTGAGGCTTGGAAATGGGGTTGGCATTACAAGAATCCCAAATGATTAGAAACTCATTCATTCATTAATTCACTTTAAATGAGAAAACTCATTTAATTCATTTCATTAACTTTTTGGTACTGAGGATTGAACCCAGTAGTGCTTTACTCTGAACTATGTCACTAGTCCTTTTACTTTGTTATTTTTTAAAAAGAATTTTAACTTTATTTTATTCTTTTTAAAAATATTTATTTTTAAGAAGTATTTGGATTCAATACTTTTATTTTATTTATTTTTATTATTATTATTTTTTTAATTATTTATTTATTTTTATGTGGTGCTGAGGATTGAGCTCAGGGCCTCACATGTGCTAGATGAGTGCTCTATCGCTGAGCCACAACCCCAGCCCATCTTTTTTTTTTTAAATGTGGTGCTAAGGATTGAACCCAGTGCCTCACGTGCTAGGCAAACACTCTATCACTATAGCCCCACCCCTACTTTATTATTTTTGAGATGGGGGTTTTGCTGATTTGCTGAGGGTCTCTCTAAGTGACTGTGGCTGACCTCAAACTTGTAGTCCTACTGCCTCAGCCTCCCAAGTTGTTGGGATTATAGGCATGTGCCACTGTGCCGGTATTCTTTTCTTTCTTTATATATTTGGTACTGGGGATTGAACCGTGGGATGTTTTACCTCTGAGCTACGTCCCCAGTCCCTTTTTATTTTTTATTTTGAGACAGGGCCTCACTAAGTTGCTCAAGGTGGTGACCTTACACTTGGTAATCTTCCTACTTTAGGCCCCCAAGTATTTGGGACTGTAGGCATATATCACTGTGCCTGGCTTCATTGATTTTAAATGAGAAAACCAATTGAATACAAGTTTGGTGATAAAAAGATACTTAAAAATGTTATCTTGGGGGCTGGGGTTGTGGCTCAGTGGTAGATTGCTTGCCTGGCATGTGCTAGGCCCTGGATTTGATCCTCAGCACCACATAAAAATAAATAAATAAAATAAAGGTATTGGATCCAACTACAACTAAAAAATTAAAAAAAAAAATGTTATCTTGCTGCCAAACCAGTGCTTTCAGAATGTTAATAAGGCATGTTTTTAATGCTTTGCTAAATCAAAGAGCCATTTTTTTTTTTTAGGAATTCAGAGTTTGAGCTACCTGCGTTGTTTGGGGTAGAGTTCCACTGCTCTGGGGCTCCCTAGAGTATACCATCAGCTAGTTTTTCTGGTAACCTGAAGTAGGGAGAATTAATTAGATTGAGGTGGTAGCAGCACCAAGATCTATTCAGACTAGTGTTGTGATTTGGGGTAGCCCAGGTGATTCTATATGTATCTTTTGGAATTTTGCAGTCTATCCTGGGGAAAAGAGTGAGCTTTCAAAGAATCGTTATTTGGGAATGGTTGTGGAAGATCCTCAGATGATACCATCATGGAATCCTCTCAGGTTCCCTGGTGCACACACACGGAAAAAAAAAAAAAAAGCATTTGCTGTAACCTGTACCTCTGGTTTTGCCTCCTACATCTTGGGCTCCTGAATTGTGGATCTGCCTAATTCTGGACTTGGATGACTCCCAGATGCCTCATCCTTAATGTGTTTTCAACTGTGAATTCACATCTAGCCATCCCCCAACCCACCCTTCCTCCTCTGTTGCCTCTTTCTTCTGACATTGGCTCATCTACTTTCTCACTGCTTTTGTTCAGGTTCCTATGGTCTTGCCAGGATTATAGCAGTAGCCTTCTAAATGATCTTTCTCAGTTCTTGTCTGTTCTAATTCATCTTCCATACTGTCACCAGTGAGATATTTCCAAATGAAAATATGATCAGCTTTCACTTCACAAATAGAAACTCTTCACTGTTTCTTTCTTTTGTGACAGTGCTGTAGATTGAACCTAGGACTTCATGCATGCTAGTCAACCACTCTACTACTGAGCTATTTCCCTAGCCCTTCAGTGGTTCTTCATGATTTGTAATGCTAGCCATTACTTGACTCCTGCCTACCTTTGTATTTTCATCTGCCTCCACTTCCTCATAGCATTGCATGTTAAAGAGTACAGGTTCTAGAATCTTAAGACATGAGGCCCGAATCTACCTCATGAGCACTGAGTCCCTTGGGATAGTTACCTAACCTCTGTATAAGTCAGTTTTTTCATTATTATAATACTTATAATATTAAATGTGATGATCCACATGCATTCTTAAGACAGTGCCAGGAACACATGGTGTGTGTTCATCAAATATGTACTATTATTGTTATTGTATGACCATATTTTATATTCTAGCCATTGCTTGTGATCTCTCAAAAGAACTATGTTCTCATATTCCTTTAGTCTAGTCCTTCTGTATAGAATATGCTTCTTCCTTGTCTTCAGTCCCTGATTCTGTATGGCACTCAATACGTCCACTCAATCTTTATGGTCCAATCATAACTCCTCAATGAACCCCACCCTAGTGGTTCCCTTTCTTCCTCATGTCCTCCCAAGAGATTTTAGACATGTTTCTGCAACTCCTTGTGCACAACCCAACTTATTTCTCTAAACACCATGATGTCACTGTTTCCATGTTTTTCTCCCCACTAGACTGAGCTTATCTTTACTCACTTCCCTCTAGTGTTTAGCACATTTATTGACAATAGAATCCCTATTTCAAGACCCAGATGTTATATGTGAAAAGCATTTAAATAATTCACAGAATTATTTTTTAATTGGTATTTGAGTGTTTGCTTATATATCTAACTTCTTATTAAGATTGTGTACTCCCTTCAGTTATTTTAGTCAGTGTGATATAGTTAAGTGGTATTACCCTTAACCTTGCCCAGTCCCCTTATGGTCTGTACCATATGTTCAGAGGGGGCCAGAGAACATCAGGAGTTAGGCTGTAGCCACGTGGGAATTGAACTCCCATCTTTGACACTAGCTACCTGATCAATTATGTTAGTAAGTCAGAAATAATTTAGAAAAAAACATTCTAATTTTTCTTGCCCTGTGCAACAACCAGTGTTTCAGTCATTTTTTTTTTTTTTCCTGCTGCTACAACTAAAAGACCACACCACAACAACTGTGGAAGAGGAAAGGTTTATTTATGGTCTCACAATTTCAGAGGTCTCAATCCAAAGACAGCAGACTCAATTCCTTGGGCTCATGGCAGAAGAATGTGGCAGAGGGAAGCAGCTCACATGTTGATCATAAAGCAAAGAGAGATATCTCCACTTACCAGATACAAATATATACCCCAAAGCCACACCCCAATTGCTGTGTCCTCTAGCCACACCCTACCACTTCAGGTGCCACTCAGTTAATCCTTATCAGGGGATTAATTCACTGCTTGGATCAAGACTCCCATAATCCAATCATTTCTCTTACAAACCTTCTTGCATTGTCTCACACATGAGCTTTTGGGGGACACCTTACCTCTAAACCATAACAACCAGTTAATATCAGATCTGTCTTAGGCTATGTGAACCCTACCTTCACCAGTCCTAGCATGGTAC